CGAGTAAGACCGACCACTGGTCTCTCACAGTCTACGTTGTCAATTATTGAGGCAGCACATAGGCCGTCCACGAAATGGTCATATATCTTTAAATGGTCCAGGTTTCGCGGTTTTGCCGAATCGCGTAACCAGACACCTGAATCTGCTCCGAATTCAGTGGTATTGGACTTTTTGACTTCCTTATATGAAAAGGGGCTGTCTAACTCTTCACTAAAGTGTTACCTGGCCGCCATTTCCTGGTTTAGACGAAAGTCTGGTCTTCCGTCTTGCTTTTCAGACCCCTTGGTCAAGTCCTTCCTTAGAGGCCTGGGAAATATCAGACCGCCTGTTGCCCCTGTGCCTCCGGCATGGGATCTGGAGTTAGTTTTATCCTTGTTAATGCAGCCCCCGTTTGAACCATTAGCCACGACAGACTTGTCATCACTGACTTGGAAAGTGGCGTTTCTTGTGGCAATAACCTCAGCTAGAAGAGCTAGTGAATTATGTGTGCTTAGAGTGGACCCCCCATACTTGAGGTTCCACAAGGACAAAGTAGTCCTCCGCACGGATGTTGCATTTTTGCCCAAGGTTGCCTCGAGGTTTCATACTTCGCAGGAATTAGTTTTACCCTCATTCTTTCAGAACCCTGAGACACCTCTGGAAAAGGGATTACACCTCTTAGATGTGAGGAGAGCTCTGGCCTTTTATATTCAACGGACAGCTGACTTCAGAAAGTCTCCTAGGTTGTTCGTGAAGTATCGCAAAGACACTAGGGGCCTTCCTGTATCCTCCCAACGCTTTTCGGCATGGATCGTTTCGACTATTCGTGCTTGTTATAGGAAAGCTGGTAGGGAACTTCCCCAACAGATACGGGGTCATTCCACGAGGGCCGTGGCTGCTTCAGCAGCTTTTATGAAAGGTGTCCCTTTGGACATGATTTGTAGAGCTGCGATTTGGGCCTCACCCAGTACCTTTGTTTCTCATTATAAATTGGATACTGTGTCCAAAAGACAATCTGATTTTGGTAGAGCAGTACTGTTTTCGGCGGTGGCATGACTCCCACCAGCCATTGTTTAGAGCTTGTTAGTCTACCATATGTGTGATTCACAGTTGACTACGACAGGAAAATATGGGTTGCTTACCTGTAACCGTAGTTTCCTGAGTAGTCACCTGTGAATTCGCACATCCCCTCCCTTCCTCCCCTCGGATGTCATGCCACTCCTTCTGGCTGCTGTGCGGCGGAAGAGAACTAGCTGGCTGGCCCCGCACTGGGGTCTTATATACCCGAGGCGGAGGAGGGCGGGGCCAGGAGGGGGATGGAGTGTTTTTTTTACTTCTATAAAGTTCCAAAGCTGGCCTGCGCAGGCACAGGAATACCATATGTGCGAATTCACAGGTGACTACTCAGGAAACTACGGTTACAGGTAAGCAACCCATATTTCCTGTACTTCTCAGGAAAGCAACACAGGCAATAGGCTGGTCCTTGCTTCAAGGAACCCAGACTTGCCCCAGGAGAATGGGAGATTTTTCCATGAAGCATCACTTTCCCCTTTGAAGATATGTTTCCAGCCAATTTCATACAAATAGTGAAGGAGGGATAGGGCAAACCATCTACAAATTGGCCCAACCCTAGTGCACCTAAAATATATTATAACTGCCCCAAGAATGTTGCAGCTAAACACCAAACCCAATTAATGGATGCCCCAGTATCTGCCTCAAATCTTCTGCTGTTTTCTGTAAATATGGAGAGGATGTGCTAAAGAGCTACTTCTACACACTTTTGTAATTGCAGTCTTGTCAAGCCACATTCCTCCTCTTTAACTGCTCTGGGCAAATAGAGGACAAGCTGGAGGGCATAGTTCAAGACTATGAAGGAACTGTGTTGGCTGAAAAGAAGAGTGTTTGCTTCTCCTGCTTTCCTATTAATGTTCAAGTTTCCAGCACCATTTAGCTCCAATTGTCAATCATCACGTCTTCCATTTGCTCCAACAATATCCACAGAACCATCAGTAGGAGCCACTGGACAGAACAGACAATGGCAAATCTCCTGAAATCTCAGGACACAGTAGCTGCCCACCTAATTCATGCTTTTCTTCTGCAATTGTATGAAACAAAAGACACTTTAAATATTTAGGTAAAAAAGGTAAAGGTTTTCCCCTGACATGAAGTCCAGTCATGTCCGACTCTGGGTGTGGTGTTCATCTCCGTTTCTAAGCTGAAGAGCCGGCGTTATCCATAGACACCTCCAAGGTCATGTGGCCGGCATGACTGCATGGAGCACTGTTACCTTGGTTGTTACCTAGGTTGGCAGAAGCTAGAGCTGACAGCGGAAGCTCACGCCCCTCCCCGGATTCAAATCTGCGACCTTTCAGTCAACAAGCTCAGCAGCTCAGTGCTTTAACCCACTGCGCCAATGGTTTGAGTGTTGGACAATTATTCTGGAGATGGGTTAAAATCCCCACTTGCCTATGGAAATCCATTGCAAGTTTAACTTTCTCAATCTTATGAGATAAAGGCAAACTCAATAAAGAAATTATGCCAAGAAAACCATGTAACTTATGAGTTGCGAGAAGCCAGAAGCAACTTGAAGGCACACAACTACAGATATATTCTAACTTTCCTGAGCCTAATTCTATCAGCTCTGGTATTTGCTCTTATCACCAGAAAAGCTGAAATTATATACACATACCTCAAGACACTTTCCTCCCTTACATGAAGTACATCAGAATGGCTACATTGTTCTCTTGATAAATATTTGGTACTCAGTCTAAATAATGTTTACTGAGATGAGACACTTTGCCAACAAATAGGTACAAGATGGGGCAGGCAGTCTAGCAAAGTTTAAATAAAGCTGATATCCAAACATTCCTGGGTACAATGTGGATTGGATTAAAAACTGAGAATTATCTATACTTGCAGAATCAGATGTTATAGAACCGTTGTTTCCAACCTTTAGTCCTCCTGGTGTTTTGGACTTCAGCTCCCACAATTCCTTACAGCTGGCAAGATGGCTGGGATTTCTGGGAGTTGAAGTCCAGAACAGCTGGAGGACCAAAGGTAGGGAACCACTGCTCTAGAAAATGAGACACATTATAGACTTAATGTGCGCAGTATCTGAAAACTCAAAGACAATGTGTTTTTCTTTATAGGTAGCCATCTCCAATTGCTGGCTCACATAGAAAAAAGGTATCCTTATTATACAATCTTTGGGCTTTATGGAAAGTATTAAATTTGAATACTGTTTCTGGGAAACTACCGTATAAAAGATCAAGTACGCAAAGGGATCTTGTAGTACTCCAGAAACTGAGATAATTAAGTTAGTAGCATACGCTTTCATAGACCTAAGTACTTCCACAGATACAGGAGATATTAAGTTGCTGTTTTCTATGCCACTGTAACTTATACTGTTGTTATGATACAGAAGAAAATGACTTCATGTTCACTTACCCAAAAGAAGGGAGAATGCAGTACTAGATCTGCCTAACAGTTTTTGGGTTTTTTTGGGAGACGATTTATTGGAAAGGTTTTGGTAATGTAAACAACTACACTATAAGCTGTTAGTATGGGCAGAAAGTTTTAAATGTCACCCAGCCCCCTTCAAGACACAATCAATCTATCTATGTATATAATAAAAGTCAAAGTTTGTATGCGGCGGACAAAAGTGTGGCGGTGTGGCAGGAGGAGTATGTGCCAGCGTTCTGATTGGCTGCCGCTGTGGTGCTATTTGCATATGGTTTCTGATTGGCCAGCTTCAATAGGAGCCCCTGGTGAAGAAAAGGGTTCATGACAGAAACGGAGACATGAGAGAAGGAAATTTGCATATGGTCTCTGATTGGCCAGCCTCAATTCCAAGATTCCGAGATGACAAAGAGAGGAAAGGAAAAGGCCAGGGGCTGGGTCAGAAAATAACCAACACAGACCAAACTTGGCACACAGAGCCTCCATGACCCACTCGACATCCTACTGCAGTTTGGAGGAGGATGAACAATGGATGATGGGACTTGCAGTACCATCACTCACATTCTGAGACCGCTGTTAACCGCATCCAATGACTGATCAGGACCAAACTTGGCACATAGACCTCTCATGACCTACTTTACGTCCTGGTGTGGTTTGGCCAGGGATGGACCATGGATTATGGGACTTTCAGTACCTTTGCTGAATTCTTGAGACCACTGCAACCCTCATCCAATTATCGATAAAGACCAAACTTGGCACACTCAGTTTCTGCACTCTACATCCTGGTGCAGTTTGGAAGAGGATGCACCATGGACGATGGGACTTGCAATACCTGCACTCCCTTCCTAAGACCATTACAACTGCCAACAATGATGGATCAGGACCACCATTCACACAGAGAGCCCGCATGACCCACTCTACATCCTGGTGCGGTTTGGAAGAATTTGACAATGGATGATGGGACTTGCAGTCACTTCACTCACTTCCTGAGACCACTGAGACCCTCGCCAATGACTGATCAAGACCAAACTTGGCACACAGAGTCCCCATGACCCACTCTACATCCTGGTGCACTTTCGAGGACAGACCATGGATGATGGGACTTCAAGTACCTCCACTCCCTTCCCAAGATGGCTGCAACCCTCATCTAATGTCTGATCAAGACGAAACTTGGCACACAGAGCCCTCTACATCCCGATGCTGTTTGGAGGAGGACGGACGATGGATGATGGGACTTCCAGTACCTAAACTCACTTTCTGAGACCACTGTGACCCTCATCCAATATTTGATCAAGAACAAAACTTGGCACACAGAGCCCCCACGACCCACTCTCCATTCTGGTGCAATTTGGAGGAGGATGGACCACAGATGATGGGACTCGCAGTACCTTCACTAACTTCCTGAGACCACTGTGAGCCATATAAATAACTGATAAAGACCAACCTTGATACACAATTCCTTTCTCAAATAACCCGGGCAGCGCCGGGTCCCCAAGCTAGTATTATATAAAATAAGGCTAGATATATCATAGTACTTTATAATTAACACATCCACTAGGAAAGAGAGTGAACTGTTTATTTTGCACAGTTAAGAGAAAACATCTTTATGATTGACAGCATCATTTCCAGAGCAATGCCAGACATCAGTAAGGATTCTGCTACTTAATCATCATCAAGCTTTTTAATCTTGGACTTGTGACGTTCAATTTCTTTCTGCAGCCGCTCAATTTCTTTCTTATGGTGACCTATTTCCTCCTCATGGTGTTTTCTCAGCTGTGACAACTGCTCCTGCTGCAACTTCCTATAACAGTAAAACATAAATTAATAAAACAGGTTCATTCTTACATTTCAGCTAAAATCAATTAGCAAAAAAAAAAGAAAGAATGTATTTATTTTATGTTATAATGGCATTATATTAAATTTCCTTTGACCAGAAGCTGGCCACTTTGAGTGACTCTGGTATTGTAAGGAGGTCCTCTGTTGTGCAATATAGCAGGGTTCAGACTGCATTGTAGGCGGTCTGGTTTGCTCTTCTCCACACTTGCATGTCATGGACTCTACTTTGTAGCCACATTTCTTAAGATTGACTCCACATCTCATGGTATCTGAGCACAGTCTGTTCAGCACCTTCCAAGTCAACCAGTCTTCTGTGTGCCCAGGAGGGAGTTTCTAATCTGGTATCAGCCACTGATTGAGGTTTCAGGTTTTAACCTGCCACTTTTGGAATCTTGGTTGTTGAGGTATTCCTGCAAGTATCTCTGTAGATCTTAAGAATCTATTTCTTGATTTAAGACGCTGGCAAAAAGCTCCTGTTTTGTAGCAGATTTCCTATGAAGCGGGTAAGGTTGTATTCCTTTGTGATATTATAATTTTTTCTCATGAGAAAGTGATAATTTACAGTATCATAAGCTGCTGACAGGTCTATGAAGACAATTCCTGTAATCTGCTGCCTTTCAAAACCATCTTTGCAATGGAGCTGTTATTCAGCTTCAGCAGCCGGCACCTTGCTTTTGGGCCAAAGTTCTTAATTTGTTCTATCTGTAGATCGTCCACACCTGTTAAAGACAAGTGCAACTGCAGGCATGTGCCCAATTCTCTTATCTTACACCATGGATGAGCAACTTATTTTATTTATCGTGTCAGGAGCGAACCAAAACAGTTATATTGCATTAAAAATCTGACAAACAAACTAAACACATGGCTTGAGGTTCTGGGTTTGAGCCTGCCACTTTTGGACTCTCGCTTGCTGAGGTGTTCCATCGAGTGTCTCTGTAGATCTTCGAAAACTATTTCTTGATTTAAGTCCAGAAGCGATGAGCAACTACGTATGACTCTCAAACTGTAGATTTCATGCCATCTCCATTTTTTAAATTCCAAATGCTGCTCATGCTCTTTAGAATGCATTTGCTATATTTTGTGGGGCACCTGAACAGTTTTAGCTTGGGAAAATACTTTTCAAAGTCTCTTCTGGTTTTGGATAAACTCCTCCCCAAGAGCAAAATCAACCCAGAGGGTTTCAGGGGATTCACTACAAATTCCCATCTCCCAAGTAGTGCTGTGAGAGACAAGGAGCCTCAAACATTAACGTGGAAACTGCCCACCCCTGCTTTACATTATATTTAAATTATCTTATTTTTAAAAAGGAATATGCGGTCACTTCCCAATAACTCAAAATGATTCAGGTGTAGCTAGTAAAAGTGAATGCCGTCTTTCACATTTTTGCAATAAGTTTCCCTGAAATTTTTATTATATATTTTTTTTAAAGGTGATATTGCTAAGAAGCTCACACCAATGTAAATGATTGTCTATTTTCTCCTTACCTTATTCTCCTAACGGTATTATTATGAAATCTGAGGATTACCATAAATCTAATTGCTAGAACAATCTAAAATTCGAAGAGACCTTGTGGGCCATCCACTCCAACCCCTGCCAAAAAGCAGGAAAATTGCATTCAAAGCAACCCCAAAAGATAGCCATCCAGCCTCTGTTTAAAAGCCTCCAAAGGAGCATCCACCACACTCCAGGGCAGAGAGTTCCACTGCCGAACAGCTCTCACTGTTAGAAAGTTCTTCCTAATGTTCATGTGAAATCTCCTTTGCTGCAGTTTGAAGCCATTGTTCCACATCCTAGGGCCCTTCCACACAGCCCTATATCCCAGAATATCAAGGCAGGAAATCCCACATGATCTGAGTGTGGACTAAGATAACCCAGTTCAAAGCAGATATTGTGGGATTTTCTGCTTTGATATTCTGGGATATAGGGATGTATGGAAGGGGCCCTAGTCTCCACGACAGCAGAAAACAAGCCTGCTCCCTCCTCCCTGTGGCTTCCCCTCACATATTGACACATGGCCCTCATGTCTCTTCTCAGCCTTCTCTTCTTCAAGCTAAACATGCCCTACTCTCTAAGCCACTCCTCATAGGGCTTGTTATGAGCCTTGATCATTTTAGTCACCCACCTTTGGAGCTTGCCAACATCTCCCTTAAATCGCAGTGCCCAGAATTGGACGCAGTGTGATTCCAGGTGTGGTCTGACCAAGGCAGAATAGAGGGGCAGTATGACTTCCCTGGATATAGACACTCCTATTTATGTAGGCCAAAATCCCACTGGCATTCTTGGATCATGTTCACCTTCCTGTCCACGAGGACTCCAAGATTTTTTTCACACGTACTGCTGTTGAGCCAGGCATCCCCCCGTTCTGTATCTTTGCATTTAATTTTTTCTGCCCCAGTGGAATATCTTGCATTTGTCACTTTTGAATTTCATTTTGTTGGTTTTGTTCAATCATCTCTCTAATCCAGGGGTCCTCAAACTAAGACCCAGAACCAAATACGGCCCTCCAATGTCATTTACCCGGCCCTCACTCAGGATCAACTTAAGTCTGAAACTATTTGAAAGCACACAACAACAACAATCCTATCTCATCAGCCAAAAGTAAAGGAACCCCTGGTGGCACAGTGGGTTAAACCCCTTTATTTGTCGTGTCAGAGCAACCAGTCCATTATATTACATTTCTAACAGAACAAAGCAAACAAACAAATACAAAACTTGTGAGTTTGGTAGTTGGTTAAATGTCCTTTGACCAGTATCTGGCCACTTGGAGTGCTTCTGGTGTTGCTGCAAGAAGGTCCTCCACTGTGCATGTGGCAGGGCTCAGGTTGCATTGCAGCAGGTGGTCAGTGGTTTGCTCTTCTCCACACTCGCATGTCGTGGATTCCACTTTGTAGCCCCATTTCTTAAGGTTGGCTCTGCATCTTGTGGTGCCAGAGCGCAGTCTGTTCAGTGCCTTCCAAGTCTCCCAGTCTTCTGTGTGCCCAGGGGGGAGTCTCTCATTTGGTATCAGCCATTGATTGAGGTTCTGGGTTTGAGCCTGCCACTTTTGGACTCTCGCTTGCTGAGGTGTTCCAGCGAGTCTCTGTAGATCTTAGAAAACTATTTCTAGGTTTAAGTTGTTGACGTGCTGGCTGATACCCAAACGGGTTGAGCTGGAGATGTCTATGCCTTGGTCCTTCCACTATTTGCTGCTACTTCCTGGCGGATGTCAGGTGGTGCAATACCGGCTAAGCAGGGGTTTAACCTGCCGGCACAGGTTAAACCCCTGTGCCGGAAGGACTGAAGACCAACAGGTCACAGGTTCGAATCCGGGGAGAGGCGGATGAGCTCCCTCTATCAACTCCAGCTCCTCATGCGGGACATGAGAGAAGCCTTCCACAAGGATGATAAAAACATCAAATAATCCGGGCATCCTCTGGGCAACGTCCTTGCAGACGGCCAATTCTCTCACACCAGAAGCGACTTGCAGTTTCTCAAGTCACTCCTGACACGACAAAAAAACAACAACAAAAAAGCCAAAAGCAGGCCCACACTTCCCATTGAAATACTAATAAGTTTATATTTGTTAAAATTGTTCTTCATTTTAATTATTGTATTGTTTTTAAGTGTTTTTGCAGTACAAATAAGATATGTGCACTGTGCATAGGAATTCATGGGGGGGCAGCTTGGGTGTGATCCTGGACTCATCGCCGAAACCCCAGGTTTCGGCGGTGACCAGGGGAGTATTTGCACAGTTAAAACTTGTGCGCCAGTTGCACCCGTACCTTGGGAAGTCTGACTTGGCCACGGTAGTCCACGCTCTGGTTACATCCCGCCTTGACTACTGCAACGCTCTCTACGTGGGACTGCCTTTGAAGACGGCTCGGAAGCTCCATCTAGTCCAACGGGCGGCAGCCATGGTACTAACAGGAGCGGAGCGCAGGGAGCATACAACTCCTCTGCTGCACCAGCTCCACTGGCTGCCGATTTGCTACCGGGCTCAATTCAAAGTGCTGGCGTTGGCCTTTAAAGCCCTAAACGGTTCTGGCCCAAGCTACCTATCCGAATGTATCTCTGCCTATGAACCCACCAGGACTCTAAGATCTTCTGGGGAGGCCCTGCTCTCGATCCCGCCTGCATCACAGGCACGGCTGGCGGGGACGAGGGACAGGGCCTTTTCTGTGGTGGCCCCTCGGCTGTGGAACGCCCTTCCCATGGACATTAGATCAGCCCCTTCGCTAATGGTGTTTCGAAGAAAACTAAAAACCTGGCTGTTCAAACAGGCATTCGGTTAAACAATGCAATGTACACGATGAATATAGGAAACGGAATTATGGAAGACGAATTGGATCACGATTCTAGTTACGAGACGTTAATGTGTTGTTATTGATATGTCATTTTGTATATTATGCTGTTAATGGTTTTTAAATTTTGTATGCTGTTGGATTGACTTTTGCTCTTGTTGTAAACCGCGTTGAGTCGCCTACAAGGCTGAGAAATTGTGGTATACAAGCAAAGTAAATAAATAAATAAATAAATAAATAAATTCGTGTTTTTTTCAAATTATATTCTGGCCCTCCAACAGTTTGAGGGACTTTGACCTGGCCCTCTATTTGAAAAGTTTGAGGATCCCTGTTAAAATCGCCTCTTCCCATTCCAGCTAGTCACAGAACACCCAGGAATGGTATAGCTATTCAGAATAAAGGGCTGGGAAACCTACCTGAAATAGCGCTCCTCTTCAGCCGCTTCCTTCTTGCCAAAGGTGCCGCCTGCCTCACGGATCGCTCCGCTTTTTCCAGGCCCGAACTGGGAAAGAGGAAAGGACAAAAAGGGAGGGAGGGAGGGAGGCTGCGGCTGTGGTCCCCTGCCGCTCCCCTTCCCTTCCCTCCCCCGGCCAGTCCCCTCAAGGCGCCCCCTTCCTACCTGGTCCGGCCCCCCATTGGAGCTCCAAGCTCGCTGCTGCTGTGGGAGAGCCATAGCCCCGCGCAAGCCACACCTCAGCACCGAGCCCACAACCGCCATGACAGCTCCGTCCTTGGCAAAGGGTTGGGCCGCAGCCTGAACGAAACACCGAAGGACGTCCGGAGTCGAGCGGAAGTAGTGGGAGGAGAAAAGGCAGAGCCAATCGTCGCAAAGCCCGTGAGCCAATGCCACAGTCAGTCAGTTCCTAGAACGCCGGAAGGAAGGAAGTTCAGAGGAAGAGCGGGAGGCTTTACTTTCGGCAACAGAGGGAAGCCTCTGGATTCCTTGCAGAGGTTTTGGCTTGGCCCTCAATTCCGCGGGTTATGGCAAAGGAGGTCCCTTTCAAACAGCCCTATATCCCAGAATAACAAGGCAGGGCATCCCACATTATTTGAGTGTGGACTCAGATAACCCAGGGCCCTTCCACACAGCCCTATATCCCAAAATATCATGGCAGGAAATCCCACATTACTTGAGTGTGGACTCAGATCACCTTGGCCCTTCCAAAGAGCTCTATATCCCAGAATAACAAGGCAGGAAATCCCACGTTACTTGTGTGTGGGCTCAGATAACCCAGGCCCTTCCACACAGCCCTATATCCCAGAATATCATGGCAGAAAATCCCACATTTGAGTGTGGATTCAGATAATCCAGTTCAAAGCAGATATTGTGGGATTTTCTGCCTTGATATTGTGGGTTATACGGCTGTGTGGAAGGGCCCTTACACTCTGCAATGACAAACTGAGGGCCCTTCCACACAGCCATATAACCCCGAATATCAAGGCAGAAAATCCCACAATATCTGCTTTGAAGTGGCTGTCCAAGTCCTGAACTGGTGCCTGGCCTCTGTGACTGTCTGGATGAGGGCAAGCAAATTGAAGTTGATTCCAGACAAGACAGAGGTCCTCCTGGTCAGTCACAAGGCCGAACAGGGTATAGGGTCACAGCCTGTGCTGGACGGAATTACACTCCCCTTGAAGGCACAGGTTTGCCGCTTGGGAGTTCACCTGGACTCATCACTGAACCTGGAATCCCAGGTTACGGTGGTGGCCAGGGGAGCTTTCGCACAATTAAAGTCAGACTTGGTGACGGTGGTCCATGCTTTTGTTACATCCAGGATAGACTACGGTAATTCACTCTACGAGGCGTTGCTTTTGAAGACTGCTCGGAAGCTTCAAATAGTCCAATGAGAGGCAGCCAGGTTAATAACTGGGGCGGCATACAGGGAGCACACAACTCCCATGTTACGCCAGCTCCACTGGCTGCCAGTTTGCTACCAGGCACAGGCCTATAAAGCCCTAAACAGCCCTGGCCCGATTTACCTGTCCAAACACATCTTCTCCTATGAACCATTGCAGAGATTAAGATCCTCTGGGGAGGGACTGCTCTCCATCCCGCCATTGTCACAGGTGTGACTGGTGGGGACGAGAGACAGGGCCTTCTCGGTGATTCCCCCCCCCCCCCCCCCCACCTATGGAACTCCCTTCCTGGTGAGATCAGATCGGCCCCCTCCCTCCTGTCCTTCAGAAGGATGGTAAAAACTTGGCTGTGGGACCAAGCCTTCGGGACAGTGCAATAAGACAGTGATAGGAAACTTTACCAGGCCAATTTAGATTTGACACAGATGACCAAGACAGTTTTAAACAGTGTATTTTAATATTTTGATAAATGTTTTTAATGTTTATGTATACTCATATGAATTCTTGTCCCAGCATGTTTGCTATATATATGCTGTGCTCTGCCCTGAGTCCCCTTCGGGGTGAGAAGGGCAGAATATAAATAAATAATCAGAGTCCACTGCCAGATAATGTAGGGTTTTATTCAGCTATGTGGAAGGGGCCTCAGATAATGTGGGATTTTCTGCCTTGATATTCTGGGATATAGGGCTGTGTGGAAGGGCCCTGAGAAAGGACCATGGGAGCTGTAGTCCTGAGCTTCATTCTTGGGACCTTTCTACACAGCTGAATAAAATCCCACATCATCTGCCTTGAACTGGAATATATGGCAGTGTGGACTCAGATATCCCAGTTCAAAGTAGATATTGTGGGGTTTTCTGTCTTGATATTCTGGGTTGTATGGCTGTGTGGAAGGGCCCTTGGTGTAACAGCCAGGATTTGCCTTGCCTTCCTTTGAGGCTGGAAGAGGGCTTTGCTCAGCGGTCCCCGGGAGACTCCATGGTCCCCAGCAGCAAAGGCACAGGCCACCACACCAGGCTGCCTGTCACACTTATGTAGATACAGGCTTTATGGGTCTCTGGCATTTACTTGTCAGTATGCAAGCAGACATCAGGAAACTGCCAACCCATGTTCATCCAGAAATCTCTCTGGGTCCTTTAGAGTTTATTCTCACAGACGAATTCACTGAGGGCCCTGAGAGATGCCTCCCCACAGTATTGCAACACATCCAGGCATCCCCTCGGCAACGTCCTTGTAGATGGCTGATTCTCTCATACCAGAAGCAACTGAGGGCACTTCCACACAGCCTTATATCCCAGAATATCAAGGCAGAAAAATCCCACATTATCTGCTTTGAACTGGAATATATGGCAGTGTGGACTCAGATAACCCAGTTCAAAGCAGATATTGTGAGATTTTTCTGCATTTATATTCTGGGATACAGGGCTGTGTGGAAGAGCCCTGGGACATTTTCCCCATTTTAAAAATCTAAACTAGTCTTATTTCCTGCACTCTATCCCTGGAGACCCACCTTTCCATGACAGTGGGATTGCATTGTGTTGTCAGGCAAGGGGCTGTCCTTATCTACACTGACCATTTTAATGCAGTTTCAAACTGGTATTGAAAAAAAGTGATTTCCCTGTGCAGATGATTACACAGGAAATCCCGGGACACGTTTGAGGCCTGGAAAGCGATGACACAAACTACAGATGCACATTAAGGGCTTTCTTTCCCACACCTTTACAAGAGTTTGAAAGGAGATAGTGTCAAAAGAGGAACCTATCGAAATCCAAAAGGACTTTCAGCTTTGGCAGCTCACAAAGGTGAAAGGAAAATCCAAAGCTGAACAACACATAAAAGAACATGAGATGTGTGAGACATAAACCAGAAGAAGGTAGAATTGTAAAAGAAGAAATGGAAAGACAAACATGGCATTATTGGATAAATGAGATAAAGTGGATAGGAATGGCACATTTTGAGTCATAATAACAATGTTTTTATCAGGAAATGAAAATCGAAGAAGAGCTAGAGTAGCATTACTAGTGAACAGTAATGTTGCAAAAGCAGTCATTGCAAACAATAGGCAATGGCAAATTAAAAAGTTACAGATTGCTTATCTTAGGGCTCTTCCACACAGCCCTATATCCCAGAATATCAAGGCAGAAAATCTCACAATATCTGAGTATGGACTCAGATAACCCAGTTCAAAACAGATATTGTGGGATTGTCTGCCTTAATATTCTGAGATATAGGGCTGTCTGGAAGGGATGTTAGTCCACACTGCCATATTTTCCAGTTCAAAGCAGGAAACGTGCGATTTTATTCAGCTGAATATCTGCTTTGAACTGGGTTATCTCAGTTCACACTCAGATAATTTGGGATTTTCTGACTCGATATTCTGGAATATAGGGCTGTGTGGAAGGGCCCTTAGATGCAGCCACACACACCCCTCCCAAAAAAGTGAGTCCTCGTGAGGTGTAGACCAACAGGAAATGTTAAAAGAGGTGCTATCCCACTTTACATTCTATGGTTGCCTCCTACTGAATCCTGGATTTGCAGATTAGGAGAGGGCCCTTTTAAAATTCTGAGTCAGACAGATCCAGCCCCTCCCTAAACTGCAAACTCCAGAATTCTGGAGGAGGCAGCAACAGGGTTCAATGCGGAACAGCAACACTTTAAAATGTAATGTGACAATGTCATAAGCATCTTTGAATTCATTTAACAGAGTCCCTGTATTTCCAGCCTTTCCTTGGTATGTTGTTCATTCGTTCAGTCATCTGCGACTCTTCGTGACCTCATGGACCAGCACACGCCAGAGCTCCCTGTCGGCCGTCACCACCCCCAGCTCCTTCAAGGTCAGTCCAGTCACTTCAAGGATGCCATCCATCCATCTTGCCCTTGGTTGGCCCCTCTTCCTTTTGCCTTCCACTTTCCCCAGCATAATTGTCTTCTCTAGCTTTCCTGTCTTCTCATGATGTGGCCAAAGTACTTCAACTTTGTCTCTAATATCCTTCCCTCCAATGAGCAGTCGGGCTTTATTTCTTGAAGTATGGACTGGTTGGATCTTCTCGCAGTCCAAGGCACTCTCAGAACTTTCCTCCAACACAACAGTTCAAAAGCATCGATCTTCCTTCGCTCAGCCTTCCCTAGGTCCAGCTCTCACATCCGTAGGTTACTACAGGGAATACCATGGCTTTGACTAGGCGGATCTTTGTTGCCAGTCTGATGTCTCTACTCTTTACTATTTTATCGAGAATTGGACATTGCTCTCCTCCCAAGAAGTAAGCGTCTTCTGATTTCCTGGCCACAGTCTGCATCTGCAGTCAACTTTGCACCTAGAAATACAAAGTCTGTCACGGCCTCCACATTTTCTCCCTCTATTTTCCAGTTGTCAATCATTCTTGTTGCCATAATCTTGGTTTTGTTATGTTTAGCTGCAACCCAGCTTTTGCGTTTCTTCTTTCACCTTGATTAGAAGGCTCCTCAGCTCCTCCTCGCTTTCGGCCATCAGAGTGGTGTCATCTGCATATCTGAGGTTGTTAATGTTTCCGCCAGCAATTTTCACCCCAGCTTTGAAGGACTGGTGACAAGAAAGGATTTTCTACCGAGCACATGTAATGCAAGGAGGTGGCTGCAAAAACAGATTGGAAAAAGCTGCCCCTCTGTCAGGTCTCCCCCACAATAAACCCCCCCCCCCCCCTACTTTTGTATTCCCCCCTCCCCCCCCCCCCTTCTACACCCCCCCCCCACCCCCTTCCTCTCGAACCAAAATCACGGCCCGGGCGCCCACCCCTCCCTTACCCTTCCGTCTCAACCCCCCGCCCACCTGCTACGCCTTGCCCTGGGCACTCCACCACCTCCCCCGCTGCACCCCTCTGTCAGGTCTGGTAGGAAGCTGAGAGTGACTGTGAAAAGGCTGGTGAGAACCTGCACCCTTCTCATCGGCTTTTTCGTGGCCACCATTAGCTTTCCACCAGACTTTTCAAGGCTACCGCTGCCTCTCCATCCTCTGTCTCTAGCTGAGATCCCTTGTCCAAAAGTGTAGACAGGTTTAGGTGTGTGATTCTAATGCACTATCAAATCTAATGTGTACCCCAATTTTAGTGATGTAATTAAGCCAAAAAAGATGAGCATTAGACTTGAAATATGGTATTTGTTCTGTATTTATTTGTTTTTTGTCTTTGCCCCCTGGTAATCAGATTGTTACTTGTTGCTAGTTCTTGCTGTTGCTGTGTAGCTGAAAATAGATATACCATATTTCATTGCATAATAGACACACTTTCCCCCATTTTTTTCATCAAAAAGGACACTCTTTTCTCCTTCCTCTGAGGCAAAACCTGACATTCAGGTCTTTGAATTTGGATCTTCCCTCCTTTCTCCAAATAACTTCATTCCAACTTTTGTAAACTGCCTTGCCTTAGAGCAGTGGTTCTCAACCTATGGGTCCCTAGGTGTTTTCGCCTACAACTCCCAGAAATCCCTGTTTGCCAGCTGTTAGGATTTCTGCAAGTTGAAGGCCAAAACATCTGAGGACCCACCGGTTGAGAACCACAGTCTTGGAAGAAGGAGAGAGAAGAGTGGAACCTCAAAGATTTCAATTTTATTTGTTTACTTCATTTATACCCCACCGTTCTCACCCTGCAGGGGACTCAAGGCGGCTCACAGACTCTGGCAAGATTCAGTGCCGAATATAAATATAACAATAAAAAATACCCCATCAAACTGTAAAACAGTTAAAACACATAGAACAATAAAACAGATTAAAACATATAAAGTGCTTGATTCCATTAATCCATAATCTTTTTTCAGACTGTGTTGAAATCCAAAATGTCTTATTCTCCAAACACCTGCATAGAGAGCCAGGTCTTTAGCTTTTTTTGAAGACCAGAAGGTATGGGGCCTGCCTAATGTCGCTGGGGAAGGAGTTCCACAGGCAAGGGGCCGCCACTGAGAAGGCTCTGTCATCCCCACCAATCACATTTACAAAGAGGGTGGGACCAAGAGCAGGGCCTCCCCAGCAGATCTTAAAGCTCTAGTTGACTCAGAAGGGGAGATGCGTTTTTAAACTACCTTGCTTTTGGATTCGTGGTTCCCAACCTGTGGTCCATGGACCACCAGTGGTCTGCAAGAATTAAAATATGGTCTGCAGCCTCACCGTTACTGCGAGAGTGACTGGTCTTGCAAAATACTTACAGTGCCGAGACTTATTAATTATGGTTTCTGTGGGTGAGCAGATGGCGAGTACCGGATGGCATATGTTCTGTATCAGAAATTAGAGCTGATGTGGTCTATTTAATGCAGTTTTTTTGAATCAGCCCCCCAAATAACCAAACTGACTCAAAAGTTGACCAAAAACTGATTCATACCCTTTTGGTAGTAATGTTGGAGAGTGGTCCCTGATCAACATGGTCCCCGATTTTAAAAAAAAGGTTGGGAACCTCTGCTTTGGAGAAAGGAAGAAGGAATCACTCCAAAAAGAAAACAGAAATATCAAATGGGAGTGCGGCTATTATGCAATGAAATACAGGTAATTAATAACAATCTGCCAGTGATAAACTCCAGCAACCATGAAAATAGCTCTGTAGTCCCTGCTTGTGTAATCCCAGGGAGTAACAGGCTTATTGTGGCATAAACTTTGGAGGGCTACATTTTAAGAGATTCTTGAAACATTTCTCCTCAAGAGTCCAGCAGTAACGAGATCTGTGGTGCTTTTGTCTATGTTTCTTACCAGCATCATCCAGTACATTAATGGGAGAGGAATTTGAGGACAGTTAGGACAAACGGCTGGAAAACTTGGCTCGAGAGCAGTATGTATGACAAAGATCTTGGGAGTCCTCATGGACAACAAGTTAAACATGAGCCAACAGTGTCATGCGGCGGCAAAAAAAGCCAATGGGATTTTGGCCTGCATCAATAGGAGTCTAGTGTCTAGATCTAGGGAAGTCATGCTGCCCCTCTATTCTGCCTTGGTAAGATCACATCTGGAACACTGTGTCCAATTCTGGGCACCACAATTGAAGATGTTGACAAGCTGGAATGTATCCAGAGGAGGATGACTAAAATGATCAAAGGACCAGAGAACAAGTCCTATGAGGAGTGGCTTAAAGAGCTGGGCATGCTTAGCCTGCAGAAGAGAAGGCAGAGAGGAGACATGATAAATATGTGAAGGGAAGTCATAGGGAGAAGGGAGCAGGTTTGTTTTCTGCTGCCCTGGAGACTAGGACTCGAAAAATGGCTTCAAACTACAGGAAAGGAGATGCCACCTGAACATTTGGGAAGAACTTCCTAACAGTGAGAGCTGTTCAGCAGTGGAACTCTCTGCCCCAGTGTGGTGGAGGCTCCTTCTATGGCAGGCATCCTCAGAAGTTGTGAGGTCTGCTGGAAACTAGGAAAATGGGGTTTATATATCTGTGGAATAATGTCCAGGGTGGGGGAAAGAACTCTTGCCTATTGGAGGTAGGTGCAAATGTGAGAGGAAGTCATAGGGAGGAGGGAGCAAGCTTGTTTTCTGCTGCTCTGGAGACTAGGATGGCTTCAAATTACAAGAAAGGAGATGCCACCTGAACATTTGGGAAGAACTTCCTAACAGTGAGAGCTGTTCAGCAGTGGAACTCTCTGCCCCAGTGTGGTGGAGGCTCCTTCTTTGGAGACTTTTAAGCAGAGGCTGGATGGCCATCTGTTGGGGGTGCTTTGAATGCGATTTTCCTGCTTTTTTGGCAGAAGGTTGGACTGGATGGTCTCTTCCAATTCTATGATTCTAAGCCAACGATTTGCATCTCAATAAAGAAAGGCACTGATTGGCCTGGATCAGGGCTTCTTTTCAGGCTCTTTTATGGCGGAAAGCATGTTTTATTGATGTTATTGTTTATGGAATTTTAAGGATGTTTATATGTTTTTAACTGTTTATATTATTGTGGCATCAAATTCTGCCGGTTTTGTAAACCGCCCTGAGTCGCCCTTAGAAGAAGGGCGGTATAGAAATATAGCAAATAAATAAATAAATAAATAAATAAGCAGCAATGAATTGTCGAAGGCTTTCATGGCCGGAATCACTGGGTTGTTGTAGGTTTTTTCAGGCTATATGGCCATGTTCTAGAGGCATTTTCTCCTGACGTTTTGCCTGCATCTATGGCAAGCATCCTCAGAGGTAGTGAGGTCTGTTGGAAGTAGGAAAATGGGTTTATATATCTGTGGAATGACCAGGGTGGGACAAAGGACTTTTGTCTGCTGGAGCTAGGTGTGAATGTTTCAACTGACCACCTTGATTAGCATTTAATGGCTTGGAAGTGCCTGGGGGGATCTTTTGTTGAGAGGTGATTTGATGTGCCTGATTGTTTCCTCTCTGTTGCTTTGCTGTTGTAATTTTTGAGTTTTTTTAAATACTGGTAGCCAGATTTTGTTCATTTTCATGGTTTCCTCCTTTCTGTTGAAATTGTCCACATGCTTGTGGATTTCAATGGCTTCTCTGTGTAGTCTGACATGGTGGTTGTGAGAGTGGTCCAGCATTTCTGTGTTCTCAAATAAAATGCTGTGTCCAGGTTGGTTCATCAGGTGCTCTGCTATGGCTGATTTCTCTGGTTGAAGTAGTCTGCAGTGCCTTTCATGTTCCTTGATTTGTGTCTGGGCATTGCTGCGTTTGGTGGTCCCTATGTAGACTTGTCCACAGCTGCATGGTATACGGTAGACTCCTGCAGAGGTAAGAGGATCCCTCTTGTCCTTTGCTGAACGGAGCATTTGTTGGATTTTCTTGGTGGGTCTGTAGGTGGTTTATATGTTGTGTTTCCGCATCAGCTTCACCCCACTGCTGTGCCCATTGGCTACCGTTCCTTCATCTTTTTTTCTCTCCTGGAAACTCGTCAGGGATTACCATTTAGGATTTTCCAACTGAGAACTAGAGTATAAACTGGTTTCTCTTCAGATCGTATAAACTGAGAACTAGGCAGGGAAAGACCCGGAAAAGTGTGCACTGCCCCTTTAAGAGCCCTTCTTCTCTGGCATCTCACTGCTGGCCGGAGGGTGACTGAGTACGGGCGGCGCTTCCGCCGGAAAAAGCCGGAGTCCGCGTCACGTGGAAGGGGTGCGCTGTGGAGGGTCACGTGGGGCGAAAGATGGCGGCTCCAGAAGAGCGAGAGGCGGGCGTCGGCGCTGAGCAGGCGTTTCTCACTTTTTACACGGAGGTAACTTCCACCGACCGGCCTTCCTTCCTTCCTGGTCCCCCCTCGCTTCCTTTCCGGGTTGGGCCTCTTCCCGCGAGCACCGAGGGAGCCTGCCTGTTCCTTCGTCTCCTTTTCCTCTCACAGGCCCCATTTCTCCCATTGCCTCGGGAGAAGGTTTTTCTGAGGAAATAGACTCACTGGTCTCACTTCGGTTGGCCTCCGCCGAGAAATCCTGATCTGATCTGGCCGGGGTGGTCCATGCCTTGGTCACCTCCAGATTGGACTACTGCAATGCGCTCTACGTAGGGCTGCCCTTGAAAACGGCTCGGAAGTTCCAACTGGTCCAACGATCAGCAGCCAGGATGGTAACTGGGGCCCCTTACAGAGAGAGGTCAACCCTCCTGTTCAAGGAGCTCCACTGGCTGCCGTTTATTTTCCGAGCCCAATTTAAGGTGCAGGTGCTTACCTACAAAGCCCTGAACGGTTTGGGACCATCCTACCTGCGTGACCGCATCTCCGTCTACGAACCCACGCGTTCACTTCGGTCATCTGGAGAGGCCTTGCTTGTGATCCCGCCTGTGTCACAAACGCGCTTGGTGGGGACACGAGACAGGGCCTTTTCCGTGGTGGCCCCCCGACTCTGGAACACCCTCCCCAAAGACCTTAGACAGGCCCCTACATTGGCAGTCTTCAGAAAGAACTTGAAGACCTGGCTGTTCCGATGTGCCTTCCCAGATTAGGAAATCTCCAATACCAAGTCCCATAAGCACTTTACTAGTATTAAGATTGCTGCACGCCACACACTGCACTTGCCCTATAATGCCTTATATACCACCTGTCACATCAGCACTTTTAATCCTGTACCCCATTACTCTGGCCAGGCCCAGTTTTATTGTGTCTTTGTGTATTGTTTATTGTCTGTTGTTTATATTGCTTTAATTGTTTTAATTTGCCTTAGGTTTTGTATTGTTATACTGTGTGTTGAGGCCTTGGCCTTTGTGAGCCGCATCGAGTCCTTCGGGAGATGCTAGCGGGGTACAAATAAAGTTTAATAATAATAATAAAAAATCCGGGCTGTTTCCATAATGATGGGTGGTTGGTAGCGTGCGTGGCGCGCAGTTTGCAAAGGCCAGGGTGTGGTCGAAAGATTTCATGGCCGGAATCACTGGGTTGCTCTAAGTTTTTCGGACTGTATGGCCATTTTCCAGAAGCATTATCTCCTGACGTTTCGCCCGCATCAATGGCAGGTATTCTCAAAGGTTGTGATGTCTGTTGGAAACTAGGAAAATGGGGTTTATCTATCTTTGGAATGTCCAGGGTGGGAGAAAGAACTCTTGTCTGTTGGAGGTAGGTGTGAATGTTTCCATTGGTGGTAAGAAGCCACACCTTGGAAACTGCTAGGCCAGGGATCCTCAAACTTTTTAAACAGAGGGCCAGGTTACAGTCCCTCAAACTGTTGGAGGGCCAGATTATAATTTGAAATTTATTTATCGTGTCATTCGCAACCAGAACATTGTATTACATTTCTAACAGAACAAAACAAACAAACAGATAAAAAAACCCACAAATTTTGCAAACTTGGTAGCTGATTAAATGTCCTTTGACCAGTATCTGGCCACTGGGAGTGCTTCTGGTGTTGCCGCAAGAAGGTCCTCCATGGTGCATGTGGCAGGGCTCAGGTTGCATTGCAGCAGGTGGTCAGTGGTTTGCTCTTCTCCACACTCGCATGTCGTGGATTCAACTTTGTAGCCCCATTTCTGAAGGTTGGCTCTGCATCTCATGGTGCCAGAGCGCAGTGTGTTTAGCGCCTTCCAAGTCACCCAGTCTTCTGTGTTCCCAGGGGGGAGTCTCTCATCTGGTATCACCCACAGATTGAGGTGCTGGGTTTGAGCCTGCCACTTTTGAACTCTCGCTTGCTGAGGTGTTCCAGCGAGTGTCTCTGTAGATCTAAGAAAACTATTTCTTGATTTAAGTCGTTGACATGCTGGCTGATATCCAAACAGGGGATGAGCTGGAGATGTCTCTGCCTTGGTCCTTTCACTATTGGCTTCAACTTCCCGGCAGATGTCTGGTGGTGCAATACCGGCTAAGCAGTGTAATTTCTCCAGTGGTGTGGGGCGCAGACACCCAGTGATAATGCGGCATGTCTCATTAAGAGCCACATCCACTGTTTTAGTGTGATGAGATGTGTTCCACACTGGGCATGCGTGCTCAGCAGCAGAGTAGCATAGCGCAAGGGCAGATGCCTTCACTGTATCTGGTTGTGATCCCCAGGTTGTGCCAGTCAGCTTTCGTATGATATTGTTTCTAGCACCCACTTAACATGAATGAATTCCTATGCACACCATACATACCTTATTTGTAGTGCAAAAAACACTTCAAAACAATACAATAATTAAAATGAAGAACAATTTAAACAAATATAAATGTATTAGTATTTCAATGGGAAGCGTGGGCCAGCTTTTGGCTGATGAGATAGGATTGTTGTTGTTGCTGTGTGCTTTCAAGTCGTTTCAGACTTAGGTTGACCCTGAGCAAGAGCTGGGTAAATGACCTTGAAGGGCCATATCCGGCCCCTGGGCCTTAGTTTGAGGACCCCTGTACTAGGCCATCAAATGCTAATCAAAGTGGCCAATTGAAACATAATAATACTTTATTTATATACTGCTCTATCTCCCCGAGAGGACTCAAAGCGGTTTCCAAGTAACATCATCAATGTTGTTGTTCATTTGTTCAGTTGCTTCCAACTCTTCGTGACCTCGTGGACCAGCCCATGCCAGAGCTCCCTGTTGACCGTCACCAAACCCTAGCTCCTTCAGGGTCAAGCCAGTCACTTCAAGAATGCCATCCATCCATCTTGCCCTTGGTCTTCCTTTTTCTTTCAATTTTCCCCAGCATCATTGTCTTCTCTAAGCTTTCCTGTCTTCTCATTATGTGGCCAAATACTTCATCTTTGCCTCTAATATCCTTCCCTCTAATATCCTTTGCCTCTAATATCCAGTCCAACTCTCTGCCAATTAGCAGTCGGGCTTTATTTCCTGAAGTATGGACTGGTTGGATCTTCTTGTACTCCAAGGCACTCTCAGAACTTTCCTCCAACACCACAATTCAAAAGTATCTATCAAAAATATCATCAATACATACAGAGTAAAGAACATAAACATAAGATTAACAAAACAATATGAGCATAAATGTCTCCATAACACGCACACATATATAAAGTAATTCTGCCTGTTCAAGGCAATTTAAAAGGTCGGGCCGAGATTAGTGCAAGCTCAAAAATTCTGGAGGGGGGGGGGGGTTTGGAAATTAAGTGCAGTACTATAACAGGCAACAGCAATAATAGGTCTATGGCTGTTCATTTCCAGGGCCTATTAGAGGAAGTAACCTGGGTAATTGGTAGGAAAAATAAGGCTATATTTAACAATGTCTAGGGCTGAGCTAGAACATAGAATCATAGAGTTGGAAGAGACCTCATGGGCCATTCAGTCCAACTCCCTGCCAAGAAGCAGGAATATTGCATTCAAAGCACCCCTGACAGATGGCCATCCAGCCTCTGTTTAAAAGCTTCCAAAGAAGGAGCCTCCACCACACTCCGGGGCAGAGAGTTCCACTGCTGAACAGCTCTCACAGTCAGGAAGTTCTTCCTAATGTTCAGGTGGAATCTCCTTTCTTGTAGTTTGAAGCTATTGTTCCGCGTCCTAGTCTCCAGGGCAGCAGAAAACAAGCTTGCTCCCTCCTCCCTATGACTTCCTCTCACATTTGCACCTACCTCCAATAGGCAAGAGTTCTTTCCCCCACCCTGGACATTATTCCACAGATATATGAACCCCATTTTCCTAGTTTCCAGCAGACCTCACAACTTCTGAGGATGCCTGCCATAGATGCAGGTGAAACATCTGGAGAGATGCTTCTGGAACATGGCCATACAGCCTGAAAAATTTACAGCAACCCAAAGGCCAGGATGTTAGACATTTTCTGGGGAGGAAAAGAGCTTGGCTGCTGAGAAAGGGCTTCAGGGTGGGCTGCCTCCCAGGGATGACATAGAGGGGATTCTAGTAGATGTGGCCTGGCCCCTGAGAAACGCACCGCCTTTGTTCACAGTGTACCTCTTGGCCCCTTTCAAATAAGCCAGCTTCACAGTGTTGTAAAAATAAAGCAACAGATCATGTGTGTGATTCATTGACGGAAGGGGAATTTAAAATGTAACAGAGTTATATAGCAAGAAACGTTTTCCGTGTCTGTTCAGAAGCAAACTGCATTGAATTTCGCGATGCCTTCTTCTTAGGTAACTCTGAATAGATTTTTGTGAAAATATTAGTAATATTGTGAAAATATTAGTAGGCTACACTCTCGGGCCTGGTTACCTGGGAATCAGTAAATAATAAACGTTATTTATACCCTGCCACCAGGAACAAGGGTTTAACCCTGGTAGCACAATGGTTTAAACCCTTGTATGTATTGTCGAAGGCTTTCATGGCCGGAATCACTGAATTGTAAGTTTTTTTGGGCTGTATGACCATGATCCAGAAGCATTCTTCTTGAACTTGGCCATACAGACCGAAAAACTTAAACCCTTGTAAGTAGTAACTTTATTTTCGTACCCTGCCTCCATCTCCCTGAACGGACTTGGGGTGGCTTACAAACGACACAATGTGCCTAAAGCAACACATAAAATAAACACACAATACAATAAAAGATACAACCAATAGCATATAAAACAATAATTTAAGCTTAAGACTGTGCCAATAACCTATGGTGAGAACTGTCATAAAACATGGTCAATTGTAAACAGGAACAAGGGGATAGGATAGTGCAAGTTCTAGCTCGAACTAGGGCATGGGATGAAAGTGCAATACTTTGTCATTAATTGCAGACCATTGGGGTTAGACGTTCTCAAAGGCCAGCAGGATTGGTGACCGAAAGGTCAGCGGTTCGAATCCATTGAGCGGTGTGAGCTCCTGTCTCAGCTCTAGCTTCCCATGTGGGGATATGAGAGAAGCATTCCACAGGATGGTAAATCATCAAACATCAGGGCGTCCCCTACAGATGGCCAATTCTCGCACACCAGAAGCGACTTGAAGTTTCTCAAGTCACTCCTGACATAGAAAAAAAATTCCCGAAGGTACTCACAGAAGTACTACAAGGGCCGAACATAAAATAAACAATACATAAACATATAGACTATAACAACATACATTTACAACAGCAAACATACATAAAATTGTATATATTTTTAAAAATTCATAAAATGTATAAGGTGGGGCTTCAAAGAAAATGTTTGGCACTTGAAAGAAAACTGTCAAAGGTGAAGAACTGAGGAAAGTTGCTGTGAGAGGTCCAAACTTGCAGTGAATATTTAGCCTTGTTGGGAACTAAGATGAAATATCACACACACACAATATTTATTATGGTCCATAGATCCATCAGTGAACAAACAATTGCTAATAAGATGAAATGTAACATACCTAACATGTAAAATGTTTCACCATGTTGAAATTGTCTTCCTGGGAATCTTTTGAAAGGTGATCAGCAAAGGATCCATTCAGTCATTGTGTGTAATGGTCAGTATTCAGGTTTCATTGAGTTTTATATCTAAACAATCATTTTCTTTAGGAACACAAGGCAATCGTGCATCTGAATCTGTATTTGGTCAGTCGCTAAGATAAAATTAAGTTGATCAACTAAAATTTCAGTTGATCAACTAAAATATACAGATATCTTATACCCTTTTACTAAATGAATTAGCCCTATGAAACCATTCTGCTTTACTTACTAGATAATCAAATGCATGTAGTACCATAAATTACTGAATTATTGTAGCAGTAGCCTGTTGTGATATCTTTTGAACTACCAGGGGTAATGTCCTGTATGCTTTTTGAGACTTTTATTTTTTAGAGCAATCTGATTAGTTGGAACACTCGCAGCATATTTGTGCATGCTAGTTGACAGCAGCTCTCTCAACTAGCATGCACAAATATGCTGCAGCTATCTCAAAATCTTCCACTCCTGCAACTTGAGATCTTTTTTTATCTAGAAATGCCAGGAATTTTCCACTTGAATAGCAAATGCTTAGTCACTAGGCACTTCTCTGGGAGATTTTTAAAAACTACTTTTCCAGTGTGAAATCGAGGCATGTGTACAAAGCATCCAGGCTTGTATGTTCTACGTACATCAGGTTGTGTACAGCCCCATGCAACTAGTGTTGGAAGGTTGAGATATAAATGTTTTAGAAGGCCCTTTAACACAGCATCATTACAAACAGTCAGATACTTATTGTCCTGGATTTAAGGATTTACTGTTGCACCAACCCAAAGGTGTAGCTTGGACCTAGTCTATTGGCTCAAGAACGTTTGTGTTGGTGTTGCTGGTCCATATATCTGGACCACACCTTAACATTGTATAATCCAAAAAAGAAACAAAAAATGGAACGAGTAGAGCCTGATGACTAACAAGGTAAGCTATTTTGCCTGCAAAGTATCTCCACATTGTTCACCTTGGACTTTGTGGGGGGCAGTACATAGCTTGGGTCCTGCTTTTGGCTTCCACTTAGATTCTTTGTGTTTCTTTAAATTTAATAATGTGCATTTCTAATTAATACCAACACTTTATCTCTGTAGGTGAAACAAATAGAGAGGCGAGATTCTGTTTTAACTTCAAAAAATCAGATTGAGAGACTTACTAGGCCTGGGTCATCTTATTTCAATCTGAATCCATTTGAGGTAAGCCCAAGAAGTCCTTTCACTGCATTTATCTTATATTTTCTGGTTATTGCTTTGTGGTTTAAAATGCACTTGCACAGTGCTCATCTTGTCCATCCAAGATCACCCTATGTGGCAATTTATTGGCAATGTTACAGACAGATGGAAATTCCATTTTCAAACCTGTTTCTTCTGCATTGGCTAGTTACATGGAGTAATTAATGTAAATCTTGGTCAGGGTTACAGTTGACTAAATAAATTAGCAAAAGACATCTTGCTTACAACCTTCCCCCAGAAGGATTATTTGTGTTTTTGCAAACCTATGGGGTTTTTTCCCCTGTGTCTGTAGATTTGTTCCTCTTAAGCAATAGTGATGTATGGTAATTTTAGTTACATTGTTACATCCACACTGGGGGGATTGGCCCACTATGAATTTTGATAGTCATTCCTTGAGCACAAAGGATGGAATTTTACATCCAGTTTAGTGAGTAGAGATGTAGGCCTCAAAACGACTGTGCATGTTGATAGTGATTATATAAGTATTGCTGGAAACGGCTATACTCAGAATCCTGTTAAGGCACACTGTTGGCATAAAAACACTTATATAAATAGATTTACTTTCTTATAGGTCAGCTAAGTATGATTTCTATTTCAACCACTCTCACATCCCCCTTGCTTTTCACTTAGAGCTAGTTTACCATTGTGCACTGATGAGCTCAAGGCCTTGGTACTAGTTGTAGTTAGCTGCATAGTTGAGGGAACACCATGTAGGGGGTGCTATGAATGTGATTTTCCTTCTTCTTGGCAGGGTTGGACTTGATGGCCCACAAGATCTCTTCCAGCTCTGTGATTCTATGTTAAAATTGTATGGGTTTTGGATATAGAGATGTCCAGAAATGGTGTTGCTTATAATTATTCTGTTGTGGATCCTGCAGGTGTTGCAGTTGGATCCTGAAGTTACAGATGAAGAGATAAAGAAAAGATTCCGTCAGGTATGTATCTGTAGTGTTGTTGATTTACTAACATAACGAGTGCTTACCACAATAGTTACAATGTCATTGTAACTATTGTGGTAAGAGGAAACAAGGCACTGTAAGGTAGTGAATTGTTGTTCTGGCATGAATGTCAAATAAGGTGTGAGAGGTAGTTCAATCTGAGTATTTCTAAAATAACCTATTATTTTCTTTTCCCTTAATATACAATTAACAATGACACATTTCTACAGTAAAAAAATGAATTTCAGCTATGTTTGGTTTTGTATTCAGTCTGGTGAGTGGATAGTTTCCATCTTCTTAGTTGTGTGTCTGGCTAAAGTATTCAGGCTGTACTTACTAGTGGCCGGGGTACTGTAATGACTCAAGAGCATGAGCTACAAATCCCTAGTTCAAATATCTTTTCTGTCTTCAGTATGAAGATGATACACATGTTTGCAAGAGTCTTGATAGTCAAATGATTTATGTGAAAAATTTAAGTAGCCTTAGACCCAATCCCAGGAGAAAGGTCGAGTATAAATCCAATAAATAAATTAACTAATTTGTGAAAATTGTTTTACATCCAGAACATATTTTAAACAGGAAAAGTAGAGTTTCCCCTGGGACTCCTTCCACACAGCTGAATAAAATCCCATATTTTCTGCTTTGAACTGGAATATATGGTAGTGTGGACTCAGATAACCCAGTTCAAAGCAGATATTGTGGGATTTTCAGCCTTAATATTCTGGGTTGCGTGGCTGTGTAGAAGGGCCCTGGGTTACATCCCTTAGGGCCCTTCCACACTTCCATATAATCAAATTATCAAGGCAGATAATGCTTTGATAATCTGGATTATATAGCAGTGAAGAAGGGGCCTTAGATTTCATGGTCTTTGTGCTGTCCTGGACACAGATATGCAGATTATTTTTTATAGATCACATTTTTGTTGGACATATCCAGATGTCTTTGATTTGAGGGATCAGATGTTTGGTTTCAGTCCTTTGAATATTGAAAAGCTGGGTTGCAGGGTATTGCATGGTGGTCCAGACTTGACCAGCATGGGGGCTGTTCACAGTTTCAGTCAATATTATAGATGCTGTGTTCCTCTAGGAAATGTGTTTGTTCTGAGGAAACATGTGTAAGAAGTACATACTATATATGTCCACAGAGCTCTCCCTTAAGAGAGTACAAGTTGGTTATCCAAGGCCAAGAAGGCCTGGAAATCCAGCTTTCTGTAGAGACAGAATAATTAAATGTGAAAGTGTGGTGTGATTTTATTAATAAATTATGTTGAAAAGAAGATGTACACGTGAGAAAACGGCATAATTTTTGTCTAAAGTTGTACTCATCATATTTTACAGTTATCCATATTGGTGCATCCTGACAAAAACCAAGATGATCCTGAAAGAGCCCAAAAGGCATTTGAAGGTATCTTCCTCATTTTCCCATGTTCAGAATCCCAGATGCTACTGCTATACACCTTTTTATCTTTGATTTGAAAAGATATGCATAATGTTACTCTGTTGTTTCTCTAAAAGTGAATCTGGTTTTGTGTTTTCTGGTGATTTAAACAGTGTAGTCTTGAAGCTATGCGTACATGCTGATATTAATGTTTGGTTTGTCAGCTGTCGACAAAGCATACAAGTTGTTGCTGGACCAGGAACAAAAGAAGAGGGCCTTAGATGTGATACAGGCTGGAAAGGAATATGTGGAGCATATTGTAAGTATCATGTTTGTGACGGCCATAGTCTGATCTGAGTGGAGAACCAGTTATTCTATGTGCTGAGAGTTTCAGTATTTGCTTTTTAAAAACTCGTGTTATTACACAGCATTCCAACATTTTATTCAACTGTACGTTTAGTAAATTTTTACTGTGACAGTAAAGTTTCATGTTAGATGATAAGAAAGATGCATTAATTGTAAAAGTTGGTGTCTGTTTGAAATTTGGTGAATACAAATTATTGTGCACTTTAGATCTGTTATACGTTTTTCCTTTGTCCCTGTCAACACTCTATAGTTATTGAATTAATTCAAAAATTCAAGTCCATTTAGAAAAGTGGTGTCAAACTTGTGGCCCTCCACATGTTTGGTCCTCCAACTCTCATAAGCTTTAGCCAGCTTGTCCAATGGCCAGGAATTCTGGGAGCTGAAGTCCAAATCACCTGGAGGACCACAAGTTTGACACCACTGATTTAGAAGCTTTCTCCTTTAAACTCAGTGGGAATAATGACTTCTTTATTCTGATTTCTTCCATGAGTCATCTTAGACAAAAACTTGATACAAATAATTTGTTTCAATGCTTTTTATGCCTGCTACTTAAGGTTAGCAAGACTATATTCTCTTTATACTGCTTTTTCCTTCCAGAGGAAAAGCGACTAGTCTAGTGCTATTCAAAGTAATGGTCTGTGAACCATAATAATAATAACAACAACAGTAACTTTATTTATAACCTTCTCTCCCCGAAGGGACTCAGGGCAGCTTAGGAAGACAAAAACAAAATAAAGATAAACAGCAGTAAAAACAATTTTAAAAAGCAATTAAAAATTCACAAATAACACAATAATTGTTAAAACAGATAATAAGTTTCATAAATAACAGTGAATCGACATGAGAAATGAACAATAAAAACATGGCTGTGCAATGACTTAGGGCAATATGTTGACGGTCCCACAGCTTAAGAATTGGGCTAGGCAATATTCTTCATTTTTACTCTCTAGCTTGAAATAAAAACTACAAAACACTTTGAACTTTGGGGATGTAAAAAGTGAAAAGCCTAATGAGTGACTTAGAATGGTGTCAGATTTTCCAGTCTTGCTAAAGCCTTCATTATCATTACCTGGCTTGCATTTTTTTTTTAATTAATCACAATGTTAATATTATGTGTACTGGACTGTAAAGGAGACTGGTCTGTAAACTAATTCAATAATATTCAAGTATTCCTGAAGTGTCAGAGAACTGTGACATGAGCTTTATTATTTATGATAGGTGAATTCATTGAAATTATGCATGATGAAATTTCTTTGCTTTAAATAGTGTAATTAGTCCCCAGCTACATGCTTGTCCTTGTATCATTATATTACAAACATTTTGTAAGCCGCTCTGAATGCTTTTGTGGCTAAAGAGCAGGTTAAACATAAAAAAATGATATGCACATGAAGGCAGGTAGAGTTGTAAAATGATTCTATATTTGAGCATTCAAAAGTTCCGTTGAGTTCAAAGAGATTTATTCTAAGGTAAGAGCGTATCATGTTGCAGCCCTAGTACTTTAACATCCAGAATAAGAATAAATCTCTCTCCCATTCTCTCTGAGGTAGGGGTCATATGGTCATAGCCAATATTGAGAGTATTGGACATTGTGGTCCAGCATCAGGATGATCACATAATCCCCAACTTGATACATGTATTGAAACAAATCCCAAACAGTAATACAAGTCCAAAACATCACAACCTCTGAGGATGCCTGCTGTAGATGTGGATGAAACATCAGGAGATAATGCTTCTGGAACATAGCCATACAGCCAGGAAAACTCATAGCAACCCAACATTAATATTGATTGTGCATTTGAATATTTTATATGTTTTAGTTTTTAAAATTAGTAAACAAATTTTATTCAGTACTCATTATGCCAGAGTCTATGTTGACAGATCCAATGGCTATGAGAATCTGAGCAGTCCTGCAAGTTCTTACATTTTGTAAGATTCCTATTTCTTACCTGTGATACCTTTTTAGGCAAAAGAGAAAAAGAAACAATTAAAGAAAGAAGGCAAGCCAACCAACATAGAAGAGGATGACTCAGAAGTAGTAAGTTGACCTACCAGAGCATGACTTGGTTTGCAAGGCTGGGGTATACTAGGGCAGGAACATGCAACATTTCTTTGTGCTTGAGGATCAATTCATATTTTAGGATTGAGGGGTACCTTCCCCATCCCTATGTCTCCTGCCTCTGTTGCTAGGAATCAGAAATCATGAGAAATATCAACAGAGGCACCATCCTTTGGGGGCTAAACATCTGGCTGCTTTGCTAGCCATTTGCAGACTTTGGCTGTTTCTTTTGAGAACTGCCATGGATGGCAGGAGCTAAAAGCAGTTAGAAAAAAGTAGACTGGAAGGAGGAACCTAGTCCAAAAGAGACTATTACCTGTGTATTGTCTATTTTATTGCTCACTCCCAAGTTTCACAGGGCTTCTGGCAAAATACTCCCTTCTCTTTCAGCTGAGAGGCAGCATCAGCACCCTCAAAAATACCAGGCAGCTGGAGTCTATAATTTACATTTCCTTATGTGCTATGGAGTTATTCTTATGACAAGGTCATTGTGGAGCATTTTAATTAACCCCACACTTGGTCCCAATAAAGGCCAGCTGCCACCCCTGCACCAATAAACACTAGTTGAAATTTCAATTCGTGCCATTCCCCTCCCAACATAAATCTCAGCAGCAGTTGCCTTTCCTTGTATTTTGTATGCTATTCCAGGTCTATTTTGTTGTATTTTACATACATCATAAGCTATCTAGAGAATATCCTTGAGCAAACATAAGATATTCATATTCCCAAGATAGAAATATATTTGTATGGTATTCATTCCCTGTCCTGTGTAGGTTTTTAATGTGTACCCTAATATTTGTAGTTCATGATCTTGTTGTTGTATATTTAAAAGAGAAGGGCACTTTCTTTAACTGGAAATAGGATGAATCTATTTTTCAAAATGGCTACATAGTTGAAAAAGCCAAAATGAAGCTTAAGGAAAACTTAGAAGATAATCTTGATTAAAAGCATTGAAATTAAAACTGGGATGCTGTCAAAGCAATTATGAGTGGTTTCTTTATGCAACAAAGTTCAGAACTGAAAATGATGATGAAGATGATGATATTAATATTTATTTGTACCCTGCTTTCCTCTCTGGATCAAGATCGAAACCACCTTACAACCCTAAAAACTAATATTTCAACCTACAAAATATAAATATTAAAATATATAGCTTTTCAAGGAAATCAGAAGGAAAATACGAATATGCTTCACTTAGGTAGAAGTAGGACTGAATTTTACACAGGAATGAGGAGATGACTATTCTTCCATAGAGATGTCTCTGAGCTGGAGGGTGGGAAGTCCTTTTTGAATTCTGATTGTCTTATGTTTTATGTGTAACAGTGATTTTAATGTTTATGTTAATATGTTTTTAACTCTACATTTTAATGTCTGAATGTTGTTATGTTTTATGATTTAGTTGATAGTTATGTGTTATTGTTGTTTTATGTTAGGTTTTCATATGTTCGTGAGGCATTAAATTTTGCTGTGAATATGTTGGAAACCGCTTTGAGTCCCCTCCTGGGTTGAGAAAAGCAGTATACAAATGAAGTATATACATACATACACACACACACATTTGGAAATGATCCAAAACCCAGAGTAGTCTATATGGATGGCTGAGGGAGTGACACTCATGCTTTTATTCATGTATACAGGCAATCCCTGAATTACAAACATCTGACTTACAAATAACTCATAGTTACAAACAGGAGTGAAACAACAGGAAGTGAGAGAAATCTACCCCTCAGAAGGGAAATTCACTCCAGAAAGAGTTATCATAGGGTAAAGGTATCTCCACTAAAGCTTTATCGCCAGTCCTTGTTTCCACAACAAGTCAATTTTTTTAGGATCCAGTTGTCACAGGGGCAGAAAGTGAAGTGAAATTTTCTGAACAGGAACATAGACAGCAAAACAAACACCACAGGGTGTTAACGCTTCCCTATTCTCTCCAAAGCTGGAATATATCCACTGTATAAGTGGAGTTACACTTTAAAAAGTGTACCTGTTCCAGGTTACATACAAATTCAACTTAAGAACAAACCTATACAACTTATCTTCTTCATAATTTGGGGACTGCCTGTATATATATTCACACTTCTCTCTCTCATATATATATATATATGAGAAAAGTGCAGTAATACATATATAAGTATAGCTGTCACTATCTCAGCAATCCATCTGAGGTATTCTGAATTTTGGATCATTTTGGATTTCCACATAAGAGATACTTGACCTGTAATTTGTAAGAATATTGGTATGAATATTTTAAAGATAGTTTAGGGATGGGCTGCTTGTATCTTGGGATCATAGCAAACATTCTGTTCCACGTTCTATACTTTGATTTTTTAATATCTCATGATTGTTGTGTTGTATTGTGTCTTATGTGCTTTGTAAAGAATAAGCAGAGTCTGTAGCATTTGATTTGTTCAGGTTATGAAGTTGATACTTTAATTGGACCTTAAGATGCTATTAAACCTTTTTATTCCTTACAGTTTAAACAAGCTGTATACAAACAAACTATGAAGCTCTTCGCAGAACTTGAAATTAAAAGAAAAGAGAGAGAAGCAAAAGAAATGCATGAAAGGTTGGAATGTTTGTCCCTTGTTTTTAATGTAAATAGTGCAATTTGTCCTCTGTATCTATGGGTTCTGTATGAACCAATTCACCCAAGCACAGCTCAAAAATATTGGGGCGGGGGGGATCCTCCAAATCTGATTTTGATTGTGCTGTGTTCGATGCACCATAGTCCTGTGCAGACATACCTAGACAACACTCATCAGAGTTTTTTGCCATTTTTAATCAGGCATAACATTTCACTCCAGGACTGTATATAATGGTACTTGAGCATCCATGGATTTTGGTATCCACAGGAATTGTTCTGAAACCAAACCCCAGTAAATATCTAGTACTCAGTAGTCTTCTAGTAAACCTCCCCCACCCCCACCCCCAAAAAGAAACTTCTAGTAAACCCAAAAAAGAAATGATACAGAGTGACAGCTCTTTTTCATTTCTTTCAGTAAAAACAAAAGGGGAATTATTTTAACCATAAAAAGTTTAACAAGCTTTACTGTAGTATAGTATGATTTTGCGATATAAAATCTAAGTAATCTGATTAATGACATCTTTATGCATAAACATACACACCTTAGTGGATAGTATATCTTTTTACTGTAGAATAGAAAACAGTGAGGCCAAATTACAGTAAGACACTGTTCGTAGTGTGTTTATAAGTACCTGCAACAACAATAATGGGTGATAGCAGAGCTAAGAGGCTTGTGCTATGTTAATTGTGAAGACTTATAGCCAAGTATTAGTCTCAGTTAGAGCAGACACATTGAAACAGTATATGAATAATAATTCAATATTTATGTGAAATCCTTTGATTCAGTGGCTCTAATGAAGTTGGCACTAGCAGTTGGATGTAGGCTAAAGACTAATCTCTGTGTTGTCATTGATGAGTGTGATTATGTTGATTTATTTATTTCATGCCAAAAGCATTGCATAAATAAGTATAAAACTGATAAAATAGAGGGAGCACATGCGACTAAATAATCTGTAGCTTTAAACAGTTCTTCCTCTGTGCATATGGCAGGGCATTGTGGGCAAGCATACAGATGTGAAGTTGTTTGTTCTGTTCCACAGTCGCACAAAGTGGAGGATTCTTTTAGGTAGTGCCATTTTGCCAGGTTGTCTTTTGATCTGCCCACTCCACTTCCGAGTCTGTTCAGGGACTTCCAAGTTTCCCGTTCTTGGTTTGCTCCTGGAGGAAGACCCTCATGGGGGGCCACCCAGTTGGAATTTCCTGGTTTAGCTGTCCAGAGGGCATGATCTTGCTGTTGCTGGGGGAACGTTAAGAGGAGTGGTGGTTCTCATGAAGCTTTTCCTTGATTGGAGGTTGATAGCTATGCAGTGGATGTCTTTCACATTGTTCAACCTTATTTCTCTCACAGTTGGCAGCAACTTCCCGTTGCACATCAAGGGGGTGGGCAATGCCAGCTATTTTTTAGAGTCTATCAACAAGTGTAGGTTTAAGACATCCTGTGATTATTCTACATGTTTTCTTCAGTGCTATATTCACCTGCTTTGCATGGGCAGACTTGTGCCAGACAGGGCAGGCATACTCAGCAGTTGAGTAAGACAAGTCCAGGGCTGATATCCTTATTAGTTTTGGGTCTGCACCCCATGCGCTGCCAGTAAGTTTCCGCAGGATGTTAGTGTGTGCAGCTACTTTGTGCTTGGTGTTCATGCAGTGTTTCCTATGTTAGTGTCCGATCTAAGGTAACACCAAGATATTTAGGATGGTAACAGTGTTCAAGCTCTTCCTAGGTTTCTTTCAATTTCCTATTGTCTTCACGGTTATGTAGGTGGAAAGCCCACACTTGAGTTTTGGCAGGGTCTTGGCTTTACAACATTTTAATTATGTTGATCCAAGTTAACAGTTGCATAACATTGTCAAAAAGACTAGTCATCTTTCATTTCATAGCCATTTGGCCTCACTTTTCACTATATTTTTTACTCTATACTTCTCTATCTAAGGTTGTGCAATAAACTTTTGTTTTAAAACTGCCATGCATTGTAATATGTTTGTTATATTGGAAAAGAAATAAAATTATGGAGAAATGTAGTTCTTGTATAAAATACCAGAGTTCATTTTGAGTTCAACCCAGTGTTTCCAGGTTGGGACACCAGAGGGCAGTCTTGGTCTAACCTGTAATTACTGCCTATATATATTACATTAAAGAATAGATGCATGACAGCTGAGTCGAATGTACACTTTGACTTGCACATTCAGAGTGCAGAATTAGCGCTTTTCACCTTACATTTTAGATACGGAGAAAAAATATATGCGCATATACTAAATAAATTACCACATTGCATTGTAATATGTTTGTTATAGTGGAAAAAGAAATAAAATTATGGAGAAATGTAGTTCTTGTATAAAATACCAGAGTTCAGTTTGAGTTCAACCTACTGTTTCCAGGTTGGGACACCAGAGGGCAGTCTTGGTCTAACCTGTAATTACTGCCTACCTTTTACGTTAAACCCAGAATTGCTCCTGTAACCTCCAGGAAACCATTGAATGCTCCATTTTATAATGAGCTCAGGAGCATATTTATTCAAACAAATTGGAGTTGGGCTAAAATGCACTTTGTTTTCTATAGCATTAGTAAATGGGTTCCTAGTCCAGCATTGGGAATCTGCAATGGGATCTGAGACTGATACTGGACCCACAGACTCAGTTAAGCATCACAAAAGCCCTAACCAGCTTATTCAATTGCCAGGAATTCTGGGAGCTGAAATCCAAAACACCTGGAGGACATGAGTTGAAGAGGCCTGCTTTATAGGATAATTCCTTTAATTCTACCCATCTCACGCACTCACTCAGTCTAGTTTCTATAAGGATAGAAGATGCTAACTTTTCCTTTCTGGCTTCTGCTATAGGAAGCGTCAGAGAGAAGAAGAAATAGAAGCCCAAGAGAAAGCAAAACGTGAACGAGAGTGGCAAAAGAATTTTGAGGTAACCGTTCCTGTACAGTTTGGGGTACTTTGTTAGTGCTGATCTTAATTCACATTTACATTCTAGTCCTATTAAGCGCAGTAGAGCTTGCATTAATAAACATGCATAAGATTGTGCAAATCATACAGCACAATATTGGGTTCTTTTTTGCCTAAAAGCAGCAGAATAGTCGAACTTCAGCTTTCTGGGATCTACATTGGTTTTACTACAACAGTAAGATTAACCACTTCAAGTGAAATCAGTAGTTAGTGGATAAGGAGCTAAATACCAAATGTTTATTAAAGGGATGGAGCCAGTTATTGGCGGCAGATAATAAATGGGATGGGTGTATGGATCTGTAGCTTTCTGGCGAAAAAATTACTTCATGAAAAAGTAAAATTACTATATATCACTTTAAAAATTGATAATAAGATATAACTAGGCAATGAAAGTTGCAACCGTTTAGCTGCGTTTAACATTTTCCCTCTTATTTTCCTCATATCTAGGAGAGTCGAGATGGGCGTGTGGATAGTTGGAGGAACTTCCAAGCACACACAAAAGGGAAGAAAGAAAAGAAAAACAGGACCTTTTTGAGGCCCCCCAAAGTGAAGATGGAGCAGCGTGAATGAGCCTGGCTCTTCCAGGCTCCAGTGGACACTTCCATATCACAGGTTTAACCTCTTCTTGCTTTTCCAGTAGGATCTTTGTTTTCAGTATGATTCAATTTTGGTTGAAGCATTTTCCGTCCCCTACCCATTTGCCTGAGGCTCACAGTGTGTTGCCCACACACTGCTCTTAGAACCTTCTTCACTAATTTAGGAAGATGCTGCCATCTTGTAATGCTTGTAATTTAATGTTCTTTACTCCAAAGATGTTGCTGTTCAAATTGCCATCAAGTCTCTAAAATTATAGAAATTATCAGTTCTAAGACAGATATTCAGAAGATTGCCCAGTGACTCCTACTCTTCTAGGTCAGTTGCTCCGCTCCTCTGCATCCGTTTCCACTTGTCAGTCGTGGGAATTGCAGCCTGGGATAGGCATGTCTCCTTGGATTTCACGGAAGTTCATAACTTGGCTGCATGGAGCTGAAAATATTCCTTGGCTCTTATACCCTGGTGGTAACTCCTGGATTCCATGATCGCGTATGGGTGACTGGCCTACTTAAAACCTCTCTGTAAATAATTTTAAACATACTTGCCTTGGATAGTCTTAGTGGCAATGTTGCGTATGTAAAATAAATTTTTACCCAATACCTTGTGCAGGTGATTCTCATTTATTCCACCAATGAAAGATTTGCATGCTTGCAGTCATTTCTGTTCTACATATGGGTCACCTTTTAGCTGCTGTTATAAATTGCATGAGATCTTTTACTAGTAATGTAGAGCAGAGATTTCCAAACTTATGTGCCGTAATATTTATTTATTTATTTACTGTATTTCTATACTGCTTTGCCCACCCCTGAAGGGACTCGAAGCAGTTTCCAACATAATAATAGCAAAAATTCAATGTCAAACATACATGTGAAAACCAGAACATAAAATCTAAATCAGCGTTCCTCAACCAGGGGGTCACGAGGGGGGTGTCAGGGAGGTCGCCAAAGACCCTCAGAAAACACAACCTTTTCTGTTCGTCATGGGGATTCTGTATGGGAAGTTTGGCCCAATTCTATCATTGGTGAGGTTCAAAATGCTCTTTGATTGTAGTTGAACTATAAATCCCAGCAACGACAGCTCCCAAATGTCAAGGTCTATTTTCCCCAAAGTCCACCAGTGTTCACATTGGGGCATATTGATTATTCATGCCAAGTTTGGTCCAGATCCATCATTGTCTGAGTCCACAGTGCTCTCTGGATGTAGGTGAACTACAACTCCAAAACTCAAGGTCAAGGAGGCAGGACCGAGAGCAAATCCTCCCTGGAAGATCTTAATCTCTGAGATGGTTCATAGGGGGAGATCCGTTGAGACAGGTAAGCTGCACATATACCGCATATACATCTTATACACACAGCTCGAAGGTAGTTTTATATATTTTAATAGCGCCATGCATGAAGCAAGCTTTGTGTACATCAAATTGTCACAAAGCAAAAGTGTCACAATGTGAGACACTACGATTTTGGAGTATTTTGGATTTCTAAATTCTGGAATAAGAGATGTTTAACCTGTAATGTGTCACAATAACCCTGCCTTCAGGAAAAGCCACTATGTTTAGCTTCGCATCCTTATTTGCTGTTCATGTTTCAAGAAATGAATTAAAATATGTGATCAACCTTCCAAGAGGATAGAGATTGGGGTATATTACTGATTAGTGTGTGTGTATGTTTCTAATGTATATGTGTGATATCACTGCCATATTCAAGAAGAAGGAAAGCACTGCATAGTGGCACGAGAGCAGTATCATGGTGATGCAATGGGTTAAACTCTTGTGCTGGCAGGACTGCTGACCGAAAGGTCGGCAGTTCAAATCCAGGGAGTGGGGTGAGCTCCCATCTGTCAGCTCCAGCTTCCCATGCAAGGACATGAGAGAAGCCTCCGATAGGATGGTAAAACATATGGGCATCCCCTTTCAGTCTGTCAATTCTCTCACACCAGAAGCAACTTGCAGTTTCTCAAGTCGCTCCTCACACGAAAAAAAAGATCATGAGCTGCATGGATTTAAGAGACTGTTTCCTTGTCTTTTTTGTAGCAGCTCTAAGTTTCTCAACTTGTGGGAAGCGGCTTGAGTTGTATTGTAAAACACAGCTCTGTTGTCATTTTAAGGAAGTAGATTATGTTCTCTATTATTAGCAAAGCTAGTGAAATTCAACTACTGAGCATTTAACTTCACATAGCTGTGGTATTTTACTACTGTGTTCAGAGAAGCATGAATGAAGAGAAGCTTGGCATAGTAAAACAAAAAATGGAAAACATAAAGATTGCAATACTTGGTGTGAGCAAGCTCAAGTGGACAGGAATGGGATATTTTGACACTTATTACAGTGTTTTACTCAGGAAATCAAAATCTAAGAAAAAGGAGAGATGTAGGAAAAGCAGTCAAAGAATATAATGCAAAGCCTGACTGAATCATATCAATAAGGGTTTAGGGAAAACCCATCAGTATAAGATTAATCCAGGTTTATGCTCCATCTATGGGGGCAGAAGGAGAAATTGTACCTATGCTGGAGCCTATGAGGAAATTTATCACAAACCTAAGGAGGGCTTTTATTTAATCACTAGCCGTTCCCTGCCACGCGTTGCTGTGGCTCAGTCTGGTGATCTGGAAAATGAAGTAATGAGAAAGTGTTGGTTTCTAATATATGTAATTTCTTCATGTTTGTGGGTAAACAGTATTTCTTGTTGTTTCTTGATCAGTGTTGATGTGGAGATTGTCTGGRTTGCCTACTCTGGAACATGCAACATATAATTGTCCTCCTTTAGGGGTCCCTTTCAAATCTATGATACTATATCTCTCTCTGTGTGCGAATCATATAAATCTYTATCTATGGCTGGATGGCTCTTTGTCAGGAGGGCTTGGTTTACGTTTTCTTGCCCTGGTGAAAGGAGTTGGACTGGATGGCCTTAAGTATTTTTTGTTGGTCATGAGTGTTCTGTGTGGGAAGTTTAGCCCAATTCTATCGCTGGTGGGATTCAGAATGCCCTTTGATTGTAGGTGAACTATAAATCCCAGTAACTACAACTCCCAAATGTKAAGGTCTATTTCCCCCAAACTCCATCTGTCTTCATATTTAGGCATATGGAATATTTGTGCCAAGTTTGGTCCAGATCCATCATTGTTTGAGTCCACAGTGGTCTGGATGTAGGTGAACTACAACTCCCACCAACTCTTCTGTTGGCCATGGGAGTTCTGTGTGCCAAGTTTGATTCAATTCCATCACTGGTAGAGTTCAGAATGCTCTTTGATTGTAGGTGAATTATCAATCCCAGCAACTATAACTCCCAAATGACAAAACCAATTTTTTGAGTGATGGTCACTCCTTGGGTTACTAGGTGTCTTGTGGTCAAATTTGGCGGCAATTCGTCCAATAGTTTTTGAGTTATGTTAATCCCACAAACGAACATTACATTTTATTTATAGAGGTGCTTTTTTTTAAAGTGTCAGAAGTGACTTGAGAAACTGCAAGTCACTTCTGGTGTGAGAGAATTGGCTGTCTGCAAGGACGTTGCCCAGGGGATGCCCAGATGTTTTGATGTTTTGCCATCCATGTGGGAGGCTTCTCTCATGTCCCCACATGTGGAGCTGGAGCTGACAAGTGAAGCTCAACCCACCCTGCCCGGATTCGAACCGCTTACCTGTTGGTCAGCAATCCTGCCGGCACAAGGGTTTAACCCATTTTGCCACTGGGGACCCCTATTAATCATAGGTGATTGGACTGCAGAAGTAGGAAACAACTGAATCAAAGAATATAGAAAAATAGAGAAAAAAGACTTAAGAAAGATTAAGAAATGAAAAAGGAGGTAGGCTGACTGAATCTTGCAAAGCCAACAGTTGTTTCTTGTAAACATATTTAAGCAGCCGAAGCAGCATCATAAGGAAGAGGGAGCAGGCTTATTTTCTGCTGCCCTGGAGACTAGGACTCAGAGGATTGGGTTCAAATTACAGGAAAGAAGATTCCACCTGAACGTTAGGAAGAACCTCCTGTCTGAGAGAGTTGTTCAGCAGTGGAACTCTGGCTCAGAGTGTAATGGAAGCTCCTTTGGAGACATTTAAACGGAGGCTGGATGCTTTGATTGTGCTTTTCCTGCATGGCAGGGGGGTTGGACTAGATAGCTTGTGTGGTCTCTTCCAATTCTATGATTCTGTGATCACCTGGCGGCCAATATACTAATATACATGAGAGGAAATGAGAGAAGCCTTCTACACGGATGGTACAAACAAGATTTATTACGGTCAATGATCAGCATCTAAAAGGTACAAGTGACAGAGTGTACAAATGTCAGGGTACGCACACATGTACAAGCACATGTACATAAATCTACAAACATCAGGTTACACACACATCTGGATATCAAGAAACAATGCTAAAACAAAAATTAAAACCCAATATTGAATAAGATAATTAAAATGGTGTTAAACATTTAGATACTAGACTGTCAATGGTAAAATATATATTAAAACTTTCTAAGGCTGTGACAGCATCTTGTGGCGACAAGCCATTGCTGCTGCACAGAAGCTAGCAACCCTGACAGTGACCTTGGGGTGTTGGTCAGACAAGAGATAATCTATATAAAACCTTACAGATCTCCCTGGTAGACTTTCTAAAATTGGATTTATAAAATGTTTACGAAGGTCAGGTAAAAAGAGCAGTACAACAAAACATGCTCCACAGTTTCCACTGCCTCCTCCTCGCAGGGACATAGGTGTTCATTGTATGGCACTTTGTTATATCTTCCCTCCAGTACAGCAGTACAATTTAGCCAAAGAGAACGCCTTCCTATCTTTAGGGATAATTAGGTTGTCTAAGTACTCTGCAGGAAGCATTGCCCTTCCATTATCTTTGAAGATTGGAAGAAAAGAGAATGCATTTAGATAGTTTTGCAGCTCAGTGTCCCAGATACGCTGTCATATGTTTTCTTTGGCTTTTGTATAGCCCATGGTCAGAATGGTATTAGCTGAAAATCCAAGGTTTAGGATTTTCTCATGAACTATCTTTTCCCACCTTGATTGGAATAGATCACCAAGGGTCAATGGAGCCAAACCTTTAGGCAAAAACATTAGTTTTAACCATAGATTTAGTTTATAAATCCAGATCCGAGACTCAACAGAGATCTGACCTGTCTCTAGAAGTAAAATTACATTAGGCACACAGCTTGGGAGGCTAAGGGTGCTTCTTAGGAATTTTTTCTGGATGGCTTCTAAAGCCTTGACACTTTTAAATGCACAGAGTTGTGCTCCATATAACATTTGAGGCAGAATCTTAGCATTAAAAACTTGCCCGGTGGCTACTGAAATGTTCAGAGCTGGTGATGCCTTGAGAGCGTCACAGTTATACTGGCTTTCCAGAGTCTCTACTTTGATTATTTTTACCAAAGTGCTCAGGAGCCTAGTACTTTCCTGCAGGTATTTATTGATTGACTACAGATAATTTGAGAAAGCAGACAGTTTTACTTCCAAAGTAGAGCAGCCCTCAGTTTGTTCTCCATGTTGCTGTGAGACTGGGAGGAGCTGCTGCTGTACTGATTTCTCAGGGGTGTAGGGAGTAAGGTAGCCCTCTTTCGAAAATGAGGTTAGAAGTTATTTTGGCAGTGGGACTGCGTC